CATATATATATATATATATATATATATATATATATATATATATATATATATATATATATATATATATATATATATATATATATATATATTGAAAATACGATTGACATGATTTCACCGTATTCCTGACGGGAAACAGTTTTCTGATTCTGTCTTTGAACCGTGAAAAAATTATTTACAATAATAAATAAATAATAATAAATTGCCAATAATAATAACAACAATAAATAAATAATATTACTAATAGTAATAATGTTAAGTTAAATAAGTTTAACCTTTAAGGATAATAAATAATAATAATATTTATACGTGCAGTTTAGAGCCCACACGCCTAGATGGGTTTTTTTTTCATAAATAAAATATTGATGATGGTTTCATACAGAAATACCACGCAAAATACACCGTGTAAATACAGTTATACAGATATACACACATACATGCATCTTAACTCACTAACTCTTTCATATGTATTCGTTTGTCTGACTCCACGTACGTACTTCTAGAATCACATTTATGTAATTTTATTTATTTGCTGTTAATTTTATGTAGTTTATTTCTATCTAGTTAATTAATTAATTAATTAATTATTATTATTTCACATGACTTATACTTTTAATTATTCTTTTAATTTGAGGAGGGGTATAAGCATACGAACAAAACAACAGTTCATGCCTCATAATTTTCTGTTTAATTATGTTAGTTAGGTTTACATCCATATGTATATATATATTTATATATATATATATACATATATATATATCATATGGTATACCGTAAATACCACCAAAATATACCTTATTATAGTTACGTGTATATGTGTGTATATATATATATATATATATATATATATATAGAGAGAGAGAGAGAGAGAGAGATTTCAGTTATATGTATGAATATGTATGATCTTCATTGTATGAGACTTGACTGACTATCGAACGCATTATATGGAGAATTAATAATATTTGTGTATGTATATGAGATGAATATAGATGTATATGTATATTTATACATAAATCTTTGTTGTAGCTGATCACTTACTATTTGTAATTTATTCGGGTACTCGTGTAAACACACACACACACTCCACACATTCACACACACACACACAAACGTACACACAAACACATACATACGTGCATATACGCACAGCGCACACATACATTGCCATGCATTTGAATGGCATATATTTTAGGCTTTTTTTCAATGTTTCTGCGATGTGATTTAAACTTGAAAAACTTGTGAAGTTTTATTAATATTTTTATTATACATTTATTCTTTTTATTATTTATTTTCTTAATTCTTAGTAAATGTTTATCAATTTAATATTTATTTATTTACTATTTATTAGTTTATCGCATAAAAAAATTATTGGTATACGGCGCGATGGCGTAACGGTAAAGTGCCTGGCTCTACTACTGCAGTGACTGGATTCGACTGCACGGAGATCCCCGCCTACCACATGCAAGGCAATGTGTGTGGTGCGTTGTTTTACGTGTATTTACAATGCATGCAGTGAGTGTTTGATGCCTCTGAAAAACTGTAACGAGGGAATTGCTGTCGATCGTAATAAGTGAAAGTGAAACGTAATAAGTGGTTTATCATTCGTTGTTATAATTTATTATTAATATTATTATTATTATTATTTAATCATTTTGATAATTTTATGTAATTTCTACCGATATGATTCTTAGCAGCTAGAGTTCTATATAAATTAATGTTTCAGTTCAGCCAGCAACATCCTACATACGGCGCTATTTTCTAACAATTACTACTAATTATAACCTTTCATCCATTCTTTCGATGGTAATAATTTCCAAATTATTGTTTAGATAGAGTTTAATAATAAAAATTATTTTGAGTAAAAAATGCCTTATTATTTGAAATAAAATTTCTCAAATAAATAGCACCAATAAATAAGCAAACATGAAGATAACACAATTGTAATGGGAATTCTGGAGAGAATTGAGAATAAGAACAAAAAATGGGAGGGAATTGGGAACAAATTTCAATTCCCACTCACCTCTACTCCAGACATATCTATTTTTACTTGAATGAATTCTACGAAATTAATCTCGACAATATAATCTCAAGTTTTTTGAATAATTTTAAAATTGTCGCTGTTTATAGCAGTTTTTGATAGAAAAAGTTGTGATTTATTGAGTTATAAAATAAGCATTTTCTGTGTTTTTATCATAAAATATAATAAATGTGTAACGTTAATACTACTTTTGCTTCCAGGAAAGTGTACATTTGGGCTAACATGATAGATCGTATCAATAGAAGAGCCATCCCAGTCTAAAACTCCATGATGATTCTATCATAGAGATTTTTTAACTTTTTTAGTTTTTGGTAGCCAACATTAAAGGAATTGTTGTTATTTTGAAGTTAATTTCTATTAATTAATTCTATGGCTCGGCTCGGCTCGGATGCTATTTATTTTATTTTAATCGATCAATTTTTAAAATTTATTTACTTAGTTAATTTTTAAATCTAGTAAAAATTTTTATTAATTACTGTTCCTATCTATAGTTTAACCAATGAGTCGGCGTCATGTTTGTCAGTTAGGCTTCTTATCTTTCTTATAATAGAAGATTATCAGGAGGCCATAGAAGAGTTAGTTAGAGTTTATTTAACTTTCCTACCTCTAAACAATTAAAGGTAACATTCTTGTCTGGCCTAAGGATAACGTAACGTGTTAATTGAAACAAGTAAAACAAAATTGCTCTCAACTCATCTTGCATCTTTTGAATCAATCAAATCAAATCTATCAGAAATGAATTAATGAATCAGTTCTAGTAAAAAAAAATGTTTTTAAGAAGTTAGCTGTATTTTAAATTAAATTACTCGTCATTGCCTACAAGCACAAATAAATAAAGATCCAACCTTGGTCCTCCTCACTGATTGCTAACTAATTTGGAAAAATTACTGAAAAATAAATAAAATATTTGAAGTCATCAACAAAAGGAGTGAAAAAGAGAAAAGGCAGCCATTATTTATATAATAAAAATCAGCACAGGGCTGCCATTATCATTGTCATGACTGTTAGTATTTGCAATACTTGTAGAAAATTTAAATATAAATAAATAAATAGTTGTTATAACATTTTTAAAATATGCAAGAGTTATTAAATTTCATTTTTCAGTCACCACCGACGATAAATCTCCACCTAAGAAGTGTAACAACCACATTAGGAGAACGTGTGATTTTTTATTGCCGTGTTGGCGGGCTACCGAGACCTCAGGTAGATCTTATTTACAATCTTTGTCTATAATAAAAATCTTCTATTTATAATCTTCTATTTATAATCTCTTATTTATAACCTTTTATGAATTTTACTCCCATTTTGACTTGATAACATCACCATCATCTCATGACATCATCTTTATCTGAAATACTAGATCTTAATGTGAATACACCAACATTGTAAGTAACAACAACATAATCATCACAACATAACAACGTCATCACAATGACATCATCACCACATCATCATGATTATTTTCACCAAACGAAATTCAGATCCAATGGTTAGACCCACAGGGCAAATTAATAATAGACGAGTTTGACAGATACGTGACAGTATTTTTTGACGATGGTCTTGCCCGGTTAGAGGTATATTGCTGATGTGTTTCTCTTTTGCTAGTGCATTTTTCCTTTGCTGATGTTTGAATGCTCGTACATACAATCACACACAAACACGTACACACATACACCCAAATACGTGCACACACTCACACACAAATACGTACACACACACACACAGATAGTAGGAGTAAAAGAAGCAGATGCAGGTAGATACACATGCATGGTCACGAATTCAGAGGGTGAAGCATGCACCAGCGCACTTCTCAAACTGGTCGAACATGTACCACACAGCTCCGACAAGAGGAAGCTTTACTGACTGGCTGAACGTTTTTATTATATTTCATTGCTACTGCCACTACTTCTGAGCAGCATTATTGTTATTCACTACTACCACAATGAGTAAATCTACTTTGACCATTACTACAACTACTGCTGCTGCTGCTGCTGTCGCCACTACTACAACTGTTGTGTTACTACTGCCAGCCACTAGATGCACTACTATTACTTCTAATTGTCACTGCCATAAAAATTTGACACTCTTACTGTTAATGTTATTAATTCTACTACTACTCTACTACTACAGAAAATACTACACACACACTTTTCTATTAAAAGTACAACCTTCGCCGGCTTTAAAAAAGCTAAAAGTAGTTAACTAATATTTACTACTACTACCTATTACTGCTGCTGGCTACTACTACTACTACTACTACTACTACTACTATTACTATACTACTGCTGCTACTACTACTGATTCTGCAACAGCTACTACTACTACTGCTGCTGCTGCTGCTGCTGCTGCTGCTACTACTACAACATACTACATATGAGTTTTATCTCTGATTGAAATAATATCAATAATTGTTCAACAATCACTGCTCTATATATTAATAATAATAATGATGATGATGAATAATAAATAATAATAATAATAACAATTACACTTCATTCTGCATATATACATCTACATTTTGAAGTTCTACAAATACTTAACAGAAGTTTAATGATCATAATAATAATTATAATAATAAATGCTACATGCGACTCTTATATTATATTATCATTATTTATTATTAATGATGAAAAATTGTATTATAATATGATATCAGATATGACATAATGTAATATTAAATGAGGTGTTTTTACGTGCAAGTTGAATGGGCTGAGAGGATGAATGAGTGTGGAGGAACAAACGAGTGTGTATTTGTTTTATACGCACATATATATATAAGAGAAAGATATATATATATACTTTAGTGAGAAAAATCGAAAAAACGAACTACAAACATATTAACGCCAAACATTCGGTAGAATTTATAGAATATTGTAAAAATTATGGTCTATTACCAACAAATATTTCTATATATATATATATATATAACTATGGCTACTTGGTATATGTGTATACATATATATATATATATATATATATATATATATATATGTGTGTGACTGACATATATATATAGATAAAATGTTTCTTTTCTTTTAATTTTGTCTTTTGGTTATTTTAATGATAAAGTTCACGTCAACTGTTACGTTATTTCGTTGTTGTTGTTGCCGTTGTTTTATTATTATTTTTATTATTCGTCGTTGTTTTGTACCTTTCGGAAGGTTTTCCAAGTTATTTATTCGTGGCATTTTATAGTTACGCCGTTAAAACCATCGTATGTTATCATTTATATTTTTCAATTGTTATTATTTTTCCTATTCCTTTTCATCTACTTGTCATCATGATTAGTATAAGGCTATATATATATATATATATATATATATATATATATATATATATATATATATATACATGTATATATATATAGGTATGTGTGTACGTGTGTGTGTACTTGTGTATATATTTGTACACAGAGATATGTGTGTATGTATGTTTATATTCGTTCGTACGTGTTCATGTTTGTAGATTTTATTGGTTCATCTGTTTGCCCTGTGAACGACATTTAAAAAAGAATGATGTCTTGAAACGATATTTTTTATCTATTTTTTTCAAATTTATATCCTAAATTTTATTGGTATATATAGATAAATAAATAAATAAAAGAATTGATAAATTTGAAAAAAGAGAAATACAACATACCAATGAACTGTTGTTACTTCTTTATATTACATTCAAAACAAACTGATATAATTATATTCAATTTAAAAAATGAATCAAAACAAGACTACGCAGGTTAAAACATATTATTAAGAAATATTCTTTTACAATTGAGTCAAATTAAACGAAATTGATTCATTTTAAATTAAACGAGTCGAAATTGAAATGTCAATTTAAACAAAATTTCTCATAATTTCACTAAAATATGACATGATTTCAATGAAGTTAAAACGTTATAACAAATTCCAACAAGCCCACGGAAGCATTGCGATATATTTTGGTCGCATCAGTCAGCAAAGACGTACATTTGGTCGTCTGTAATGCCAACTTCTTTCAAAAGACTGTCAAAGGAATGTCGAAAAATTAATAATATAATTAATAAATATTAGATTGAAATATATAAATTATATCAATAATTAACGAAAATTTTAAGAATATTTGAACAAATTTAAAAATTTGAAATTAGTGAATCAAGACCAACCCTTCAGCTGTGTTAGAGAACGCTTTTGAGCCACATATACAAAACAAACATTGATTGTTTGTGAGTTCACCACCTACTAAGTTGTCTTTTTTTATGGCCGACATTATAATATCTTTGGTAATTCTACCCGTCTGTCCATTCCAATTATCACTCGGACTTGATAGGATGTGTGAGACAGTAAACCTTTAGAGGAAAAAATTTAAGTTTATTCATTTCAAACTCCTTTTGTAAATGATACGTCATAGAATTTTATCCAAACAATTCATCTTGAAAGCTGAAAAAGCATCTTGAACGCAAAAGTTTAGGAGAAATTTGCGCAAGTTTTCTTTTTGTAATTGAGTGGTTGACATTTGGAACGGGAGAGGATCTGGTGAATGCATGCAATGTTGATGATTTTAAAAAGAAACTTGACAATGCTTTAAAGGATATGCCGTGTAAATTTAGCTATAAGGTAGATTGATATATATATATCTATTTTTTTCTCGTTCTTTATTTCTTTCAGTTTGGTTAATACTATTGTGGTTTATTTCAGACCAGTTGTCTTATTTCGATCATATTATTTTCTGTTATTTAGAGTTGGTTATATTTTGGTTATGATTTTGTTGGGGGCATAGGAACTTTAGTTCGCGCTCTTTATTCGAACTGTTATGTTATGTTAAAAACACATCCATATATAAATAAAAAAACACTGAAAATCAATAAGATAATGACCAACCAACCATTCGACCTAAAACTATCCAACCAGTCAACCAACCTAACCAATCAACCAACTAGCCAGCCAACCAACCAATCCAACCAACAAACTAGCCAGCCAATCAACCAACCAATTCAACCAACCAGCCAACCAACCATTTATTTTTCCTAGCAAAGGACCCCAATTCATCTCTGAGGATTATATCACGTTCAGTTTTGTTGAAGGATAGCAGATGCATTGTAGTATTCCTGCATTTAAATTCGAACATTTCATAAAATTAAGATTAAACAACATTAAACATTCTTACATCAACAGCAAAACTTCAAAACTGGTAAAAATTTAAAAAGCAAAATGCACACCAACCTAACCACTAATCGATGGTAATGCCTAACAACCCCGATCATTGGGGTCAGTCCGGTACCAGCGGCCAGCAGGATGACCTGATCGTACTTCGTTGCCAACTTTTGTAAATAGGTCAGTTCAAAATTTAGGCCGGTGTACGTGCAGCTAACTTCAATTTCATCATCTGAATTTGGTGTTTTTAAAAGTTTAAATGTTGAAGCATAATGTCGAATAGTAATAATAGTGGTAATAGTTGATTTAATTGATTTAATTAATAATTATAATTTATATTTACCTATTGACAACTTATTCAGTGCTGGCGTGAATATACCATCCTGGTAAATTTTTATAATAAAACAAAGTTTATTATTTTTGTTGAGGATTGCATTGATTTGTTGATGTTGTTGTTGTTGTTGTTGTTGTTGTTGACGTCTGAGACTTGGTCTGTTAGTGTTATCATCATCATTTGAGTTGCTGGTACTACTCTGATCAGTACCTCTATAGCCATTATCATAATTATCTATTATTGCATTATTATTATTATTATTATTATTATTATTATTATTATTATTATTACTACTATTATTATTATTATTATTGTTGTTGTTGTTGTTGCAGTCATCATCAGCATGCCACATGAACAATTCAGTCGGGACGATAGTGTAAGGTTTGCTGATCTCAAAACCTGCAAAAATGTCAAAGAATCAATTTTAACATCATCTACCATCTAGAGACAGACAACTGAACGAAAGCATGGAAAAACCATTCTATTAGCACTAATAACAATAATAATAACAGCAATAACAGTAATAACAACCATAAAAAAACCATTACCATCAACAACCAATTGGATGAAAGCATGGCAGCCAATAGGGACAAGGAATCTAGTGTCTCTGGGCAACTCTATAGTAAACATGTTTGTGTCGTGGGTCAACTGAATTTTACCAACAATTTTACATTTTCTGTATCTCAAATCTGAAATAATAAAAGAAAATAAATAATCGTATTATAAATAATTAAAACATATGATTAAAAAAAGGAAAGAATAGACAATTATAACCAAAATTATGAATAAAAGTAGTTTTTGACAAAGGGAAAACGAACCGGCAACATTGAAAGGACCCCACCAGGCGTCACCATCATTGCTCGTGCCGAGAACAGACCAACACCTGCCTACATTCACTTTTTTGAAAATGACATCAACATCGTCAACGACAGACGTTGGTGACAGTATGACTGCAGTTTTATTATAACTATTAATAATTATAATACAATAATAAATAAAATTATTAATATATAAATAATTATTAATGTTATTGCTAAAGTCAAGTACCATATTAACGTTTAATTGGTCGTTTAATTTTATTGAATTAGAAGTTAAATTTTCTTAAATTTCAATTTCTTACCGACCATTATAATCTGAAGAAATGTCATCCTCCAAATCTGCAAAGTATAATTTAACAATGTGAAAGAAATGAAATAGCCGAAAATCAATCAATCGAAAATCATTTATCAACTCATTCACTCACGCATTCATTCACACATTCATTCACACATTCAACAGCCAGTCATTCATTCATTCATACATGCATGCATGCACGCACTCTCGATCATACAATTATTCAGTGATGTTTTTACTAACAGCTCACAAACAAGTAGTTAACTACCGGTAAAAAAAAATTGTAACAATTTCCTAACTACTTTTAACGAGAGTAGTTAGTTGTAAACCACTTCCTAACTACTCGCTGGTTAGCTGTGTAGTTTTCAAAATTATCTTTTAAAATATATCGTTCAAACAAGCGTTATTTCAACTACTAAATGCCGGGAAATAGGAGAGTCTCACATGGGTTAAGGAGAGAAAACAAGTCTGTGTAGATGCAATGAAGAAGAACATTCAAATGTTAGAATTTGTCAATTGTTTTGTCATATAATCACTTATTTATAACTGATTTCAAGGCAAGCAGGTGGAACTAGTACGATGCCCACTGGCTGGAGATAATTTAAACAATGATCACTCCTTATTGAACTCAACATTTATGAAAAGAAAGTTTAGCGTGGGTTGGGCGAAGTTTCTCAATGCATAAGGTATATAGGCAGCAACTGAGAGTAACACATACCATCCTAAATCGTGAGAGTAAAAGACTAAGAGTAAAAACATCCAGCACTCAGTTGTACACGAAGCACGAATAGATACACACGTACAACAACAAACATACATTGAAACATACGCACGTGTGTTAATAAGACGACGTACAAGCAGCAGCAGCACACACACACACTTAATACATTTGAAAGAAGCATAAATTTCTCGATGCGAACGTTAGCGTCTGTCGTCAGTGCTGGGGTAATTTAAAAGTAATTAAGATGTAATTAAGAAAGTCACATCAACCAGATGGTCCCAGCCAGTCAAACATGACTCTCCTTACATGTTTCAGACCAGTTTGCATACGCGCTAAACTCGCTTTCGTTCGTGTTCTGTTCACGCAAACATACAAACCAAAAAGATGTGCAGAACTTAAAAACTAAGCATGAACAGAACATACATGTGTATATTAGTATATACACACTAAGTACGTACCCATTCGTTCGTTCGTTCGTTCATTCATTCGTTCGTTCATTCGTTCGTTCATTCGTTCATTCATTCATTCGTTCATTTAGCTAACTGATATCGATGATGAAGACATAATCATTGATGATGATATGCATGATAACGTTTAAACCATTCTTATCGATGATGATGTGATGAGATTTTACAATCCTGGCGTTATGCGTGGTCACAGATATTATAACTGTATCACTCTTTTGACACCAACTGTACCTTGAGACGTGATCATTGTAGTTATCACCATCATCATCATCATCACCATTATCACCATCGTCATCATCATCACCATTATCATCATCCTCATCATCAAACCTTGGTTTTTTGAACTTTGTTAAACTTCCACCCTTTGAAATAATAGCACTGCTTGATGGACTGACTATAATTAACATTTTTTTTACAATTAAGTGTAATCTACTAAACAATGAAATAATTAAGAGAGAAAAAACCTGTTGTTGTTTTGTTGCTGTTGTCAACAACATCAATCGCAACATCATCATTGTTGTTGTAGGTAAGAATTATGTTTGGTAGAATTTGGAGTGCTACTTTAGTTGAGCTGCTGTTGCTGCTGCTGTTGCTGGAGTTAGCTACTGCTACTGCTGCTGCCGCTCTTTGAGATCTAGAAGTTTGATTTTCTGTAATATTTGAAGATTTGGCTGTCGGGTTGAGATCTACAATTGAGTTTCTATGTTCTGAAGTTGTTTCAGATGTTGCCATTGCATTGAAATTAGAATCTTTGTCATCATTTACTGAAGTTGTAGCAGGGAATTTGTTTAATTCTTTTTTTTGGGAGGTGTTTTGAATGAGATTTTGTTTAGAGCCTAGTGAACTCTCAGCAGACTGCGAGGGACTATAAAGAGATGAACTTGAAAAATTGGTTGAGGCAATTTTAATTTCACCAGTCGGATTGGATGAAGACCTGTGTGGGTTTGCAGCTGCTGAAGTCGTTGATGTAGAAGTCAAAAAACCCACACAACATCTCTTCAACATTGTTTCATAGTTCACCCATTTGTGCACCTGGCGACAAACAATATCAATACATCATCACGTCACCAACATAACCATCATCGTCTCTCCTATCATCTCCATCGTTAATATCATCACTTACTTCAACATCATTACTACCATCACCGTCATAATCATCATCACTTTTTTCATCATCACTACCATAACCACCACCACCACATCACCCTCATTCTCATCATCATCATCTCATTACCTGATTAAAGAGATCAGTGGCATCGGTACCAGCTCCCTTCATCAGTTCCTCAACGCCCCCCGGATGGTACTCCATGTACGGCGTCACATTGTACACCCTGCCTGCCATCCAGCATTATCATAATGTAACAAATTATAATTAGGCATAATATAATTATAATAATATTCTGGTAATGAAACATATATATATACAAATTAATATATAATATATAGCAATAAATCACTATAAAAATACACAAATATGGCATTTCTGAAGCAAAAGATGACAATCTAAAATGATATTAAGTATGATGGTAATGATGACGACACTGGGGATGAAAATCGTATCAGGTAGTAAAGTTAAACATGGCAACCACACAGCACCGACCATTAAGAGCCATCCAGACGTCATCTTCTTTATTATGATCCATCAACTCCTCCATTGAAATGTTTCCAAGTCTGCCACCCCTACCAGATGGATCTGGATTATTCCGGTGCCATCTCATCCAATCAATCATGGACCTTAGTAGGGCAGAAAATGTGTTATCATGTTTTTCTGGTTAACAAAGTTTAATTCCACAAGATTAAGAGATAGAACATGATGTAACTGTGCTTATTGTATTTAATTATATTCGAGTGGTGTGATAGCTTAATGATTAAGATGCCTGGTGGTAGTGCTGTTGAGTTAGAATGTGTTCAAATGCAGAAGGAAGATCCCATCCTATCCTTTCCATTGTGTCTGAAAATTTTATAAAAACTAATAAATAATAGTAAGTACAACCTCCCTGGTTTTAGAGCTACTTTATTTCTCGGGTTGCCAGTACTCGAGCCAGTTATTTTGGTATTGTTTGCTGATAGCATGTCACTTTTTACTGTGGGACTAACAGATAAGTTATTCATATTGTCACCTGCTCTTGAGATGTCGGTGTATGCCGGATACGGTCTGACTTGGTGAACACCACTGGTCACAATGCATCCAATTTTGCTACTTCCACAACCCAGTTTGAATGATGATACAGATGCTGAGTAGAAAGTAATACAGCCTACTAATCTAACAACCTCTAATAATAGCCTAACTAACTTCAAGCTTCATGTTTTTTATTTCATTTAGTAATTGTAATTATTTTTTAATTTGTTACATATATATTGAATTGATTAACACATTAAGAATCAAGTGTTAATCCTTTTTTTAAAATGCCCTCTTCTAATCTTAATCTTCTTCTTTACCATCAACATATCATGTCATATAACAACACTTAACTCAACAGTCATAACATAACAACCAGTAAATAAGAGTCACCACTTATTCCAAAAATATATTGAACAAAAAATACGATAAATATGGAGCCTAATCTAAATCAAACTGACGATATAATCCCAAAGGATATATATATTTATAGTTTATACATACAATTTTATACATGGCAAGAACTTTTTTCAAATGTCGGGAATATTTTGCTTAAAAGTGAATTTAAACTTTAAAACTTAAAGAGGTGCTTAATTGTCACTTTTTTTATCCTTAATTTTACCTGTCGAACTTTTTTTCATGGGAGCCTAACGAACGAGACGTGCCGAACTGCTTCTCTTAAGTTAAGAACGCACGATCGCGGCTGATGCTTGGATGAGTGACCTGAAGTGATCACAACCTAATTTAGTTCAGAATTCATTTAAATATATGTGCTTAAATATATATGTTTTATATATGCTTTATAACAGCTTATATATGTTATGTATGTTCCTCATATATACTTATATATTCTACTTCGCACATCGATAAAAGCAGATTAATACAATAACGATTGATGAGATCAAAAATAGACTTAGATGAGTTTTTATTAGTCATAAAATAATGATTAAAACATCAAACTTATAAATAAATTTTACCACAATGCATAAACATCCATTAATATTCTTATTTTTGTATTGATCGAGTGTAATTAAACAACACACCCCTGACACGCACACACACATGCATACACACACACATCCTACACACGTTTGGCACACATACATGTGTACATGTACAGTACAATCACATGTAAAAACACACACAAACAAATAATTACACACACGTTTACACACATTCATATAAACATATCACACACACACACACACACACACAAGTTAAATTTTTTTGAAATATACTTACCATATGTAAATATAAAGCCATCAATGTTGCAAAATAAAATACATCTCAAATCTGCGCTGCTGAAGGTATCTGCAAAATTTGTCCTTCAATTTTTACATTCTTTAAAACAAATTGGACGCGGTTCTCATTCATTCAAAACATTTTTAAAATTAAAAAGATGAATTGATTAATTAATTAATTAAAATAATTTTTTTAATTAATTAAAATAATTTTTTAACCAATTAACCAGATAGATATTGTATAGAAATGACAAGATTATCATTGAGGTTGATTGTCCTTATCTCCATTCTAGTGATCTTTCCAATTCAGTGTTTTCCAGTGGACCAGGTTCGTCTCCAATTTTTTCAAACAATGCACACACACCCACATACATACATACGCACACACACACACACACCACACATACATACGCACACACACGCATACATTCATACACACGCACTCGCACATTTATACATAAAAACACACACACACTCGTCGTAATACACACAGTCGTATGTTCACATTTAGGTATATGCGTAGACACATAAACAGATACACATTAACATACACATAACACTTTTTTAATTCAATCAAAAATGAAAAAATATTTTGAAAAATTCAAATTCCTCATCCAGTTAATTGCCATGGCAAAAGGGATGATGGGCAACCCACCAGACTTCCGAGGAAGTCCTGACTATGGCTTTCCTTTCAATCCCTCTACCCCCGTCGCTGTTAATCGCGGGCCGGCCGGGCCACCCAAATGATTTAAAGTAAGTAATGGCGGTAGACTAATAAGTAAAAAAGGCAGTAGTAATTTGGATTCGCAATACTACCTTTTTTTCATGATCTCTAACAAATAATGTTCCACTTATAAACACGACAGAGTTGGTACAAATACGTGGACTGCTTGGCATTGCTTGGCTACTACTAGCCAGTCAGCGTCGAACCTGTATCTTCATCAATATTATTATTATTATTTTATTATTATTATTGTTGTTGTTGTTATTTAGATCATTTTTTGAGGTGAATCGAAAAGACAATGAAAAATAAAACATAATTTATTAACATTATTATTTGATTAATTGTTGTCACTTGAAATGATTAAGGACGTTTAAACGAATTTTCAATTTTTTAACCAATAAAATAAACAAATTAATTAAAAAATTTGATAATAAATTAGCTAGATAATAAATTAATTAATCAATTAATTAATTGAACTAGAGCGATATCAAATTGTATTCATCGTGAGCCACCAAACGCTCACGGCGGCTGATATCATCGCCACCACCTTTCTCTACGAATCTTCTTCCTAAGTTGATGCACTCACTCGTACTACTACTGGCGACATCTAAAACCGAATTTTTGTCGCCTCCATCGCCACCACCGTGGCGAGAATAGTGGCTTGAGGACGAGTTTTTGCGACTTGCATTTGTTCTTTTTCTCTCATTACTTTCAGCCAGATTTACAAAATATTTCATCCTTAGTACTTTCAATTTCTTTTCTTTATACTTCTCCATTCTATCTTTTCCCCGTTGGTATAGAATATCGTTAATGTTGAATCCAGCATTATCGTCCTGGTAAAGTTGTCGGTTAAGTAGCGATTCTAATTTGGATTCGGTGACGTGCCTATCGAGTGAATATTCGTCGTCCGACGGATATTTTATCGATTGTTGTTTCTCTTGAAATATTTTGGCAAATATATGGCGATCATTTGGCGGATTTTCGTCATCAACGTTGTTGTTGTTATTGTTGTTGTTGTTGCTGTGTTCGATGTTAGTGTCGCTTGACTTGAAATTCACACGTTTTAGTTTTTTATCATTTGGTTTTAAGCTTTCATAAACGTCATTATTGTTGTTATTGTTGTTGTTGTCGTTGGTTTTGTTGTCTTTGCTTTTGTCGTCATCGCCATCTTTCTTGGCGACTGTTGGGACTTTTAGAAAAAAATTTTAGGATGAAGATAAGTAAATTAGTGACATTGGGTTAATATAACCCTGCTTAACTCAATTATTATTATTATTATATTACTACTACAACTGCTTATTATTATTTTTATTGTTGTTGTAGCCTTAAGAAAATAACATTACTTCCAAAGTGACCTTTTTCAGCCTCCGCTTTATATTTTTTCTCCAGTTCCTTAAGTTTCTGCATCTTCTTCTCTTCGTCTTCTTTCTTAAATTTTGCTCTCGCCAGCAACGTGATCAGCTGATGAAGAAAGAAACAATTACAGAAACACACCAGCATGTACCTATACAATACACATACACATACATACACACATTCCTATACACAAATATGCATATACAAACTCACAAACATACGTACAAACATGCACACACATACACACGCATGCATGCAGAGACACATACATGCACACTACTACAGAGATACAAACATCCGTAAACATACATACATAAAAACACACATACATTCACACAAACAAACACACACACGCGTACATGAAACTCATCTTCAGTCAATTTTTCTGCTTTCATTCTAGAGCTCTGTCTACGCTTCCAGATGACGTAACTAATCGTCCTGATAATAATAATAATAAATAATAATAATAACAACAATAATTAATAATAATAATAATTAATAATAATAAATAAAAAAGCAGTACTAACACGATGATGATAATGAGTACAACGACCGAATTGACGCAGATGACAGCTATGTTGCTCGCACTTCGATCAGTTAGTACCTTCGTTAGCAGGCCTTATTGCGTGTGTTACGTAGGCATGGATCATCGGCATCATTTTATTATCATAGTCGTTATATAATTTTCATCATCATACTCATCATCGTAATCACATCAACATATCATCATTATCATCATCTTCTTCTTCATCATCATTTTCTCCATCATCATCATCTTCTTCTCCATCATCATCATCCTCTTCTTCTTCATCATCATTTTCTTCCTCTTCCTCAACATCTCCCCCTCCATTTTTCCTTCCTCATCTTCCCCCTCCCAATCACAAACTTCTATCTGGGCCAACGGCGCCAAGGTCGTAATAAGTTTCTTCACTATCATTCAAGACATTCATCATATTTATTTCCTCTTGCAAGCGCCCTTAATTAATTCAGTAAGTAATTAATTGAGTAATTATTTTTAATATTTATTATTATTATTATTATTATTTTTGTTACTATTATTATTATTATTCAATTAAATAGTGAATTAATTAATTAATTAATTAATTCAGTAATTATTTCTAATATTTATTATTATTATTATTATTATTATTATTATTATTATTATTATTATTATTATTATTATTATTATAAGGGCTAACTTCTGGCGGCTTCAGTCACTTTGAATTTTTAAAAAATTGACTGCGTTATTTATTATTGAAATCAAGATGATGAGAATGATGATGATGATGTTGATGGTAATACGGCGATAATTATAACGACGACGATGATGATGATGATGATGGAGACGAAGAAGAAGAAGAAGAAGATGATGATGATGGTGATTATGATGGAGATGATGATAATGAAGAAGAAGAAGAAAATGATGATGATGATGATGATGATGGTGGTGGTGGTGGTGGTGGCTCCGTACTTTTGCATTTCGTTTTCTCTTCATCGACAACTTTATCAGCGGCGCATTTCAAACATTTCAATTTGCCTTCAACGAAAAAAAAGATTAAAAATATTAATCGATCAAATTAAAAATAAATAATAAATAGACATATACACACGCACATAAGTACAAACAAACATACCCACAAATATAAACACACACACCAACACATACACACACATTCCGTAACAACAAACCAAATCTGGGCTGGTACGTGTGGCCTTCACATTTCGTACAAACAGCAAAAGGTATCCCAACTTCGTTGTATTCAATTTCTTGTATGGTACCCGGAGAACAAGACACTATGTTTGATGGTATGTACGTTTGTCTCTTTGTTCGTTCGTTCGTTTGTTTGTTTGTTTTCATGTATGTTTGTAGAACAACAAAAACAAAAGATATTAACAGCAAAGCAATCCTTGATAGTTAGAGAAGCCAGGCGGACAGAAAGTCACAAGTTGAATGTCAAGGTTAGTGTAATTGACCATGAACTCTGGGATCAGTGACGGTTGTATCCGGAACATCATATCACGCATCTCTGTACTATCCTGTTTGCGTGCATGTATATATTTATGTGCATGCGCGCGTGTGTGTTTGTGTGTGTGTTTTATGCTCTTCGTTTGTCATACCACGAATTCGTATTCCCTAAAAATATACGCATGTGCTAAACAAAGGAACGAAATGACAGCAGAACCAACAACTAATTTTTTCTGGGCATCGATTTTGAGTACATGGAAAATGACACTTTGTCGACATTCCAAATTTTTGCAGACGACGGAGCCGATAACCTTCTCCATCTCCTCCTTCGTGTATGGCACGTAACTGAAACCGGTTGAGCACACTTTTATCTTCTCTTTTTTCTGATAAGTTAGATTATCTTATTTTGGATCTATTATGACAATTTGTCAATACAGATTGCCTGTTTTTTAGAATGAGAAGTTAACATTGTACGTAGACCACGTGTCTGGATTTTTAATTTCATGTTTGTTACACTTTTAATCGAGCGTTTGGAGGAATAAAATAAAATAAATAATCATAAAATACATCTCAAATTTTTGACAAACTCATTTACGAAATACGACAAAAAGTTCGACAACTGATTAAAAAAGAATAAGCTGCAATTCATTTGAGCGGGTCTTCACGCGAGCCAACTTAACGGCACCTCATTAGTTTTTGTGTCCTCCTTAAGTACGATATCCTTTGCTTTGGAGTACATGGGTAGCTGAACCATGGGACCCTTCGAGTTCTTCCCTATCTCCATACGCAACAGCTCCCAGATGGATGACGAGAGTTCCTCGAACTTTTTCTTGAAAAAATCGAAGCAGTAGATGTTGAAGAAAGCTGTCACTGTATACCAGAGTTCTGACTCTGGGAAGTACACGTCTGTGTGTGCGCGCGTTTGTACACGTATGTGTGCGCAGATGAGTGTTTGTATTTGTTCGTGAATAATTGGCGTTCGTTGAATGCGTTTGTAAGCATATGTTGAATGTTCAATACCGATTTTTAACAAGAATTACGAGCTAAATATTATAGCACGGAGTTAGTAACGCACGTGTGTTGCATTTGTTAAGACATTTGTTTGTGTCTTTGAGACGACTTGCAATTGATAATTTTTGAAACAAACTTATGATGGTGTGATTGAAATGTCTCTTCTGGCCAGTCTTCTGCGAGATGACACAGGAGTAGAATCCGTTGGGAACGGGAGGCCGGATGAGTAGATATCCCAATTTTTCATTCACGATAAACTTTCTATCCGTGACGATCGGCTTGTTCTCCACACCAAACTTCCACTGGTATGTTTCAATGCTGGCAGGCGAGTAGAATTCTACTTTGCTCCTCGGTATGCATTGTATTGGAACTAGGTCTTCGTGTGTTGCGTTCCTCTCTACCAAGATGAAAACTGTTTGTTCATTTCACGAATGAATTTTCTAATTTTCGTTTTAATTTTTAACATATTTGTTAGAAAATGTTTAGTTATTAACTGTAGCATATCAATAATTTTAAACGCAAAACACGAACAAGGGTTATTGAGTTTCAACGTCACTGTCAAATTTTCCACGATGCTCTTTGATAGTGTGTACCTCACGCACGAGACTGGTCCAACACACAGCTCATACAAGCAGCAGATACACATCACACACTTGCAATCTAACATATTATCTTCAAAAATAGATTTAACTTCTCAGTAGAAACGAAATTTTTTAAATAATTTAAACGCGAAAACAGTCATCGTCGTCGAGCAGGCGTTTGTTTCTATGGATACATACATTAAGTTTTTATTTTAAAGTTGGAATTGTAAATCTATTAATTTATATGGCGCCTGAATAATGTAATGTTTTGTTCTATAGAAATGTGTTTCACGAAATAGTTCTATAGAAATGTGTTTAACAAAAGTATGAAACAATAAGCATATATTATTATTACTATCATTAAAAAAGCCCGGGCTAATAGCTCCTTACAAAAACAACAATCAATAAACAATTAGAACGTGAAAAAATAAAAAAATAAAACATAAATATAAAAAAGTCTCTTTTGCCAAATCTGCTTTTGCTTTTTCTGGTCCTTTTCTCTGGAACTCTCTACCTACTTCTCCATCACTTGCGAAGTTCAGAGCGGATCTCAAGACCCATCTGTTTTCAAAATTCATTGAGGAGCGCTGTTGAACATCGCGGAAATAGCGCTTTATAAGCTAATTGATTGATTGATTGATTGACCTGATGAGAACAATTTCATCCAATCAAAAGTTGCCGCAGCGATTTCATCTTAGCTTTAAATGTGGCGCCGCTACCAATATGGCTACTGCTACTATTAAGTCCCCTGTGAAGTTCTTGGATGTTACTCGCCGTACAGATTGTGATCCGTCTCTAAGTATATCGTTACATGTATAACACCAGCGGCATCAACAATGGAATCAAAATTATAAAATTTGGTCATTTTGTCACTTAGCTTCATGCGGCAGTACGGGCATGTGCTACTTTGGCTGAGCCAGAGTTGGAAGCAATTCGTGTGGAATACATGCTGACAGTGCAGCTGCATTACAATATTTTCTTCTTTAAATTTTTCTAAACATATTGGACACTCATCGACATCAAATTTGTTGGCTATGTATGGTAGGAAAAAGTTTCGCTGCTCCGCAAACACCGCGTGATAGTAATCCGCGTGATCGATTTGAGCATTGACGATCGCATTTCCTAAACTATCAGCAACAATTTTCTCATAACCCATTGGAACAACTTCAGACATCTTTAGGAAGATGAATAACTGCTGATTCCACATTACGTCGTACAATTCTTCGGCAGTTATTGGAAGGTAATTTTTTTCTAAACCGCCGAAATTCGCTGTGTATATTTTCATTACCTTTTCAATATCCGCACTTGCTAGGGCATATTTGTTGTGTGTCTCCACATACTCTTTCAACAAATTCTTTCTTATTCTCGCCTGCATTTTAATGAAGTCTTCCAAATAACTTTTAATAATTTTTTTAACGCACACTTTGATGGACTTCATTTCAGAATAATCGAATGAGCCTGTAGTTGAACTAATAACCTGAAATGTAAATGAAAATCAACGTAAAAGAAGCAATAGTAGAGTTAATAAATAACCTCCAATCACTAGAACTACACGAGACACAACAATTACAAAAATTTTATAAAACGTGGAGCAAACGTGGATGGAACGTGGAGCAAGTTAGGATTTATATAGGGCTAGTTTTACAATCGACCATAGAAATGGAAATTAAATGGAAACAATCCTTTAATGCATGGCTAATATAGTGTAAGCTTTACAATGGACCAAAGAGATGTAAATCAACTTTATAAAGATGAAATATCATTAAACAATTTTAACTAATAAATTTAACCAAATCGTTCTCGCTTAAAGTAGATTAATAAAATGTCTCATTGCAAATATATTAAATTAAATTAAAATATTATATTATATTTTGGTTATGCTATCGTAAACACTAAAGAAGTAAAAACCAACAAAGTTGGAGCCACGTGCTCTAAAGAAAACCGCCAAATACAGCCGCCAGATGGCTTCGTTTGAAATATTTTATTATTAATTCTTTAAAAAATCAGAATCAGCAGACGCAGAAGCTGATATAACATGCAAGACAATAATATTAACTATGTGATGCTAAGTGCTTGATTGGAGATGGATGTTTTAGGTTTTGTCTTTTTCGAGGATTTCTCTTTAGATTTTGTATGTTCATTGTTGTTGAGAATAGCTGATTTTAATAGTTTAGAAAGTATCGCCATGCGTATTCGAATCATCATTGGTTGAAACATAGACTAGAACGTTGATATCCGAAGAGTTACGGATTACACACTGGCTGCAGAATTTTGTGATCGCAAGCTAATTCTTTCTAGCCATATACTTAGAATACCTACGTCAAATATTTCCCCGGCTATTAAAATAAATGTAAAATGTTTGATTTAGAAATGTTAATAAATATTGCGTGTGGTAAATTTCATTTTGGTGGGCCTTAGAGTCAGGATTTATTGAAACATCGAGTGAGATGTTGATGTGTGAGCTTCTGACTGTCGTCGGCTGTCTGTCTTCTTAACATCACGATCGATGAACTCGTAAAAAATATTATTTTTTTATCTCGTCTATTTAAAATTTTGTCTAATAAGCAATAAATAATCTGAAAGTTTTCTTTAGTATAGAAATTGAAAATATACATTTTACCATCGGAATTTCCGAATAGTTTATTTTTAGAACGAAGGCTGGATTCCCATCGTGTTTGTTATGTTTCTATTTAAGCACCATGTCATGAAAGCTTTTGAATTTTATTTTCCTTGATGAATTTCAATCTCAATTTAATACCTCATCAACTTATCCAGGCAAAAACACATTGCTAAGAAATATTTTGTAAAAAAAAATAATTGCCATCATGATACATGAAATTAGTAGGTTAATATATTCTGGCTAATACATGCCCACTAGCACAACATATGTGATATATTCATAGCTATCCATATAAATATGTATATACACACATATATACATTTTGTGTACTATATGTATACATCTGTATTTGTATATATATATATGTTTATGTATGAATATATACATATATGTGTAAGTGTAATATATATATATATATATATATATATACTACTATATATATATATATATATATATAGTAGCGCAATCAGCTTTGGGCCTATAAAATGAAGTATGATCCAAGATGATGATGCTATTTTTTGCATGCTATTACCAAATAGCAGTGGGTTTACGAGTGTGTGTATAATTACAATGATAATAATAAATATTAAAATAATATTAAAAAAGACAATAATAAAAAGTAGCAATAATATGTATAATTATAAATAATAATGCCATACTACATAATAAAATAACGTCAAACAAGTAAATTATAATTCTATTAATTTTTGCATATATATATGTATATGTATATATATGTATATAGAGAGTGAGAGAGAAAGAGAGAGAAAAAGAGAGTTTGTATCTGCCTCTTACGTCATGTCAAATTTAGTTTAATAACAGCCTGTTGGACTAATCTTTTAAATTGACGCATCTACAATGCTATACTTATAATATAATACTTGTGCTATAGTATAAATAAACTATACCAGATGAATCGATACTTAGTTCTTTATGAACAATACAATTGAAGCATTACAGGTAACGGTTATATTATTTTTTTTATTCCTATATATTCTCATATTATGAAATTATTTGATGAGTTAATAATCATTTTATTTATGGTCTGAAGATGTTACTGGATAATTATTTTATTCAGAGTAAAGGGTAGGTCTTGATGAATTTGGAAACAAAAATTTAATCATGTGATATCATGATATCAATTTGATATCATGTGTTTACTTCTCCTTGCTTGCTTCTGTTTTTATTTCTGTTTTTATTATATTATATTATAAATTATTATATTATAAATTATATTATTTTATCTATAGTTATATTTTATATACTATTTATTGTTATTATTATTATTATTATTATTGTAACTGGTTAATCGGTTCTGGTTTTATATTATTATTATTATGAATAATGTGTCATTAAAAATTATAATTAACATTAAGTCATTAACTCTACTATGAAATCTCTCTCTTCGCCCTTTCTTTCTCTCTCTCCTTCTTTCTTTCTCTCTCTCCTTTTTTCATTTTGCCTTTTGTATCCCATTAAATTTTTCTGATTAACTTTTGATAATGTATGTGTTTGTTTATGTGTGCGTGTATGTATGTAGATGTGTGTGTGTACGTGTATGTACATATATATCTCGGTCGGTCAAGCGACATATAAATATCTATGTATGGATGTTGATAAGTAGAAACACACACACACACACACACACACACACACACACACACACACACACACACACACAAGTATATAATGTAACGTACATATACTATATATATATACACATAAAATGCCAGTAATATACAGTACTGTAAAAATGTTTGCACAAATTTCGGTTTGGTATAATGATGGTACTCATCTAGTAGTAGCTGTGTGTGTGTGCGTGTACGTGTGTGCGTGTGTATATGTGTACGTGTGTGTGCGTGTGTATGTGTAATCAATCCTATCATTGATCGTAAGTGATAAAATTATGTACTCTGTATTCAATTATATCAACTGTTGTTGATTAAGCAACTTATCTTTTTGTCGCTGCTATGATTTTTATTATTATTGTTGTTGTTGTTGTTGTTGTTTTTGTTGCTGCATCCAGTATATTCTAATGTATTGATTGCTGTTTCTTACGTTCACACACTCACACACACGCACACATATACACATGAAAGTTATTTTTTCAAATTATACATATTTAGCAGATCTTACATACGCACATGTATGTTTGCTTGTCTATATTTATTTACCTATCACATACATCATACATACATACATACATGCATACATGCAAACATACATGAATGCAAACATACATACGTATATACATGCATACATATATACAAACATACAGACTCAAATTGATGCGCGTGGTACAGCTATTTGCGCTGTTTACAACCAGTGCATAATGTATATATGTATGTATGTATGTATGTGTACATATGTATGTATGTATATATGTATGTATGTATTTATGTATGTATGTATGTATGTATACATTTAAGCGCTATATAAAGTGGATCCGCCGAAATCGTTAGGATAACATAACAGTTGCTGAACAAATCAGAGGTAGTGTGTTACTGACTAACATTATGCATCTAATATGAATAAATTATACGTGTGTGTGTGAGTGTGTATGTGTGTGTGTCAATACCTTAATGAAAATAGTAGAATTATAAATGAATGTTGTTTGGTGTCAATTGAACAACGATACGATATGGCATTGTTTTATATGTAAGTGCGCTTGTTTCTTTGCCTGTGTTTTTTTTTTCCTTTCCCTCTCTCTCTCTTTCTCTCTCTCTCTCTCTCTCTCTCTCTCTCTTTGTTTTTCTATGTCTCTCTCTCTCGCTCTATCTCACTCTCACCACATATACTGACATTCAGCTAAATAAGATCAATTCAAATGATTAAGAGGATTGCAAATATGTGCGATATTTAAAACAAAAAAAAACACATACACAAAAACACACACACATATGCATGTATGTATAAATAGATTAGCATTGATAGTTGTAGCTATTAAATAGGAATATTAGTAGCGTAGTACGACATGTTAGTGTGGGGTAGTAATACAAACACATTCTGCTGACATGACGTGACTGGTTGGTAAAGAAGTATAAAGATAAAATACAATCAAATACCTTGCTTTATACATATATACATACATATATACATACATACAAACATACATACAAACATATATACATACATACATACATATACATACATACATACATACATACATACATACATACATACATACATACATACATACATACTTGTATATGTATATTGTATATGTATGAGTGTATATGATATATACATATATGTGTATATATATATATATATATATATTGTATATTTATGTATGTTTGGTTATATATGAATATACAAGTGCACTGTCAATTAAGCCAATTAAGGTTTTGGGATAGAATAAACAGTATGGATCTATTAGCCAGTAAGATTTTTCATAAATTATTATACAGTTTTAAAGCAATAACAACAATCATAATATAATATATTATTTAATATAAATAAATAAATAAATAATTATATTTATTGTAAAATTGTTGGATGTAGCCGCATATTATATAAGAACGAAAGGTCATCTTGACTTGATTGGATTATTTTTATTATTATTACGTTTTATTGATTATTTTAAAAATCTAATTGGTGGATGGTGAGTTGTTATTGTTATTATTACTGTTAATGTTATTAATATTGTTATTATTGTTAATGTTATTTTTGTTATTATTATTATTGTTATTATTAATGTTGTTATTATTGAGTTATTATTGTATTTCTGACCTTCTTGTTGTGTTTTGAACGATTTTTTGGTTTTGATTATTCTATTATTGGTAGTAGTAGTAGTTACTTCTTCTGTTAATCATTGCAACTACTTCTGTTTGTTTTTTTTAGGAGTGTTGTTTGTGATGTAGTTTGCATCAGTTGTTAGTGTTGTTGTTGTTGTTATTGTTGGTTGATGCTGATGTTATTGATGTTTTAGTTGTTGATGTTATAGTTGTTGATGTTATTTTCAATGTCATTTTTGAGATGTTCATATGTACGTTGTTGTTTTGTGGTGTATGTTACTGCGTGTGACATGACTGACACACAAACCAACACACAGACAGACACACACACACACACACACATGACATTTTTTTCTAATGAATCATAATATGCGATTTTACTACTACTACTATGACGACGACGACAATGCTGCTGCTACTTCTACTACTATTACTACTGCTGCTACCACTACTGCTTCTTCTACTACTGCTACTTCTACTACTACTACTACAACGATGATGCAGCATTAAAATGCGAGGTTAATTTAGATGACGTAGTTATTGATTATGGAAAGAGACTGATGATAATCACGTGACGAGGCGTTGCTCGTGTTTACTTTACAGTGTCTATGTATTTAATTAATGTCTACCTTTTTTATGCAATTTATTTTTTTGTTTTCGTTGCTAGCGTTACTTATAATGTTAACATTCTATTACGCATTTAAGATTATTTATTAGCTGATTCAGTTGTTGTCGGAGCTGTCAGCTGTTTCATCAGCTGGGCACTGACATGCCAACATAAGCCAAGCTAAGGCTGCTTGTTGCTTGTCTTCGAATGCTACAACAACAACCACACTCGAGTCATGTTTTACGATTGCATTTCTTCTGCTGTTTGTTTGCTGTGTGTGAGTGTCTCGTCGTATTTGCTGTTCTTCTTCAATGCCATGCTGCCATCGTGTTTATTATTATTATTATTAGCACTAGCAGCAGCAGCAGCTGTAGTGGCGCTAGTAGCAGCACCAGTAGCATCAGCAGTCGTTGTGGTAGCTTTCAAAAGGAACGCGGTTGTTGTAACCCGGCAAATGAAATTATTGATGTATGTGGATAATACACATTAATAGACAGTAGAGTAGATAACAATATGAAACATTAATATAAAGGAGAGTAACATAGCGTACAACATCGCAAACAAAACCCTTGTCTTGATAGCTATGCAGTGCAAGTAGTGTTTGGGTGTAAACGCTCGCCTGTTCGTGAGCGTATCTTCTGAAAGCCTAGCTTCTACGCATGCATGCTTGTTGCTTGCCTGTCTGTTTGTTTGGTTGGTTCTGCTGATTATTAAAATTATCAAATATTTATTGAGTATGCTGAAGGCGATTCAATATCTTAATGCTACTGATTAGAAGATCAATAGTAACAACTGCTGCTACTACTAGTACTTCTGAACGCAGATTAATACTACTACTACTCCTATTACTACTACTACAGTATTTTTAGAAATAATAATTCTCTTCATTGTTATTTAAATTTGCATTTTTAGTCTTAACTCTGATTCATCCATTTAAATAAATGGCACGCTATGTGAATTTGGTTACACGCGCACACACACACTTAAGTGCACACACACTCACACTTAAGTACACACACACATGCATAAGTACACACACACACACATACACATGCATATTATATACATACATACATACATACATACATACATACATACATACACTCATACATGTAATGCCTGCCATTGTATAAAAACGAATGCAAACATGCACGTTAGCAGCAAGGTATGGTATTGAGGAAACGATTATTGATGATGCAACAAGATACACGTGAGCCACTGGGACTACTACCGCCACTCACTGCTGTGGGTGATACTAATGCAACTGCTACTAATGTAGCTGCTGATGTCGCTGCTACGAATACTGATACATTTTTGTGACTTATAAAACTAATATTCAAAAATCTTCTCTCTCTCTCTCTCTCTCTCTCTCTCTCTCTCTCTCTCTCTCTCTCGTTTTTTTTCACAGCGAAAATGATAATTCATTCAACAACAAGTTATGCATGTTCATTCATTGATTGAGGCACGCTTGCATGCTAACCATTCGTTATCACCTGATAGAACGAGGGAGGATATGAGTGAGAGAGAGAGAAAATAAGAGAGAGAGAGAGAAAGAGAGAGATGCCTGAATAAATTATACAACATCGTAACGAAAGCTGGTTTTACCGCAACTACTACAGCTCGTTCGTGCTGGCTTCAACGTACTATTTGCCAAAACGAAATTAAGTAAAACCTGGAAATACATACATACGTACATACTAACAAACAAACAAACAAACATACTTACATGCATACATGCATACATATATACATGCTTATATATATGTATATATATGTATGAACTTATTCACTATAAATACATACATGAACGCGTCTGTCAGCGTTGTGTGTTTGCATTTTGTGCATGTGTGTGTTTGTATGTGTGTATGTGACTGTGTGTGTGTGTGTGTGTGTGTGTGTTCAGAGAAATTGCGCTTATGTATATGTAACGAGTCTGTCGCCTAGCCATCCACAGCTGCCCTTAATAGGACATCTTTGCCTGTGTGTTTGCGCGTGTGTGTGTATGTTTGCGTGTGTGTGTGTGTTTGCGTGTGTGTGTGTGTGTGTTATGATGATGCAGCCGTGATCTTCATCATCGTATGTGTTGGTGTCCATGCATGTGTGAGTGTGCGTGTGAATGAATGTGTTTGTGTGTGTGCGTTGGTGTCTTTTCATATATGCATGTGTTTATACAAACACACACACTATATATATATATATATATATATGTATATATATATATATTTATATTTACATTTATATTGATTTATGTATACAAGTATGCAAATCCACAAACCTACCGCACGTGCGTCATTCATCAGCAATACATACATGTTACATGCTTATATGAAGCGAGCAGCACACACATCATCATCACCATCATCATTTTTATCGTCACTCTTATTATTGTTGTTATTCTTTTTGTGTTGTTGGTGACAACATCCTCATTACAAAAATTAACCAGCTGTATACGTTATTGCGATAACAACCCATTACTGATACATTACATAAGGCATACGTGGCTGTGCGTTCGGTATTATAAGTTCGTTTGTGAAAGTCTGTTTGTTGCAAGCGTATTTTCAGTTTATTTTTTATACAAATGTTATGTGGATGTCTTTTGCCTGGTTTTTAACGTTATTTTCATGTGTTTTCTTCTTCATCATCATCATCATCGTTTTGTGTCATCACCAGCTGTGCGTGTGCGTGCGTGCGTGTATGTGTGTACTTGGTCATCGTTGTCATCGCATCATCGTCGTCGTCGTTTTTGTTGTTGTTGTTGCCCTGTTTCAAGACTGGCTCATCGATACGGACGAGCTCTAAGCCAGTTTGCAGCGGCTCCAGGTCACTCCAGAGTTCCACTAAACTAAGTGGTGTAGGGTAACTGGGGCAGGAGAATGAATGAGGCACATTGTCCTGATGAGCCCTCTAGAGGGACCAATGTAGTCGGTGCCATCATCAATTCGTGATTTGTAGCTACTGGAGAGGATGCTGTAGTGTTGGTACTGTTTCGTCTGTTGTTGGAGTGGGTGGGGGCCATCCGTGTTAAGTTCAATTCCGGCTCTTGGTATAAGGATAAGAAGCAAGATGGTCGGAGTGGCTGCTCCATTGGCAACAGCCTGATGCAGTCGCTTGGCTGGGAGGGTTTGTTGCAAGAATTTGCTGCTGGTATGATGGATAAGAAGGTTGCACGAGCTTCGTCCCAATCGGCTCCAGCACGGGGAGGTACCTTCTCCAGAGCCTCATCATCGTCGTCGTCATCATCGTTTCTTCCTTGAAACCAAATTATCATCATCATCGTTGTCAGAATGGATATTCATACAAATACAATCATCTTCTTCATAACACTGTCATCATCATTATTAAGTTAAGAAACATTTACATTAAGAAACGTTATATATTCACACACAAACTCACATGCACACACACACTCACACACACACACACACACACACACACACACACACACACACTTCAACACACACTCGTGTTGAATTTAACAAATTCGATGCTCTCAGTTAAGTAAGCTACAAACCGCTTGCTATGTGCAAATGGTGCTATATGTACAAAGTACATACATACATAATACATACTGACGATGAAAATTTTATATACATACATACATACATACATACATACATACATACATACATACATACATACATCCACACATATATTCATACATATATGTTATTACGATCATATATAAATAAGTTATATAAGCTAATTTATATCATCTAAGCATAAATGTTTGTTTGTATGTATGTATGTATATATGCATGTATGTATGTATGTATGAATGTATGTATGTATGTATGTATGGGAAGCTGATGTGATCAATGTTTTGTTGCTAACGTCAATAACGTAACGTAGTGTGGCTGGTTCCTCCCGTTCATCGGTTGTTCGGTTGTTTGATGTGTGCCTGCGTGTCTGAACTATTTAAATTATTCATTCATTCATTCATTCATTCATTCATTCATTCATTCATTCATTCATTCATTCATTCATTCATTCATTCATTTTTAACCATCTTTTTATCATTTTTTTATTCGTTTTTCTGTCCGATATCTTTATCTTTCTTTTTAACAATTCATACATTCACACGTTTGTAAATTTATCTTTCAATCGGCTGTTCATCCATTCATGTATCAATCATTCATTCATGCAATCATTCACTTGGTCATTCATTCATTCATTCATCCATCCATCCAAGTATCGATCATCACTATCCAGAAATGATCGCAGTCTTCGTAATAAATTAACTGGCTTTGCTACTAATGACAGAAAAGCCATTGCTGTTTTTTCCTTGTTATTGATGTTTTTGTTGTAGTTGATGTTTACGTTGTTGTTGTTATTGTTGATGTGGATACCGTTGTTGTAGTTGATGTTTACGTTATTGTTGTTGATATTTTTTTGATGTGATTGTTGTTGTTGATGTGGTTGTTGTTGATGATGTGGTTTTTGTTGTTGATGTTGTTGTTGGTGTGGTTGTTGTTAATGTTTTTTGTTGTTGTTGTTGTTGCTGCTGATGTCGATCCCTTTTCTAATTCATTTGCTGTTAGCTTAAATTTTGTTGCTGCCTCACCTACTGCAGCTGCTATTGATGTTTTTCCCTGTTGCTGTTAGTAACGGCGTTGTTGTTGTTGTTGTGTTGTGTTGTTGTTGTTGTTTGTTTGTTTTTATTGACTTGCATTTTTGTCGTTCACGTTGTAGGTTGCTGGTGCAATCTACATTGAATTTTATTCTTGGCTCATATATTTTGTTAAATAATTAATGGTAAAAAATGGTGTGAAAATGATAGAAAAGAATAGAGAGAAAAGAGGGAGAGAAGGAAGATGAGAGAGATAAAGAGAGAGAGAGAGAGAGAGATTATTATTATTTAGCCAGTCAGCATATTTTTATAGTATGTTATTTCAATAGCTGTTTATTATTTATTTCCGTTTTATATTAAATAGGTCTGCAATAAAAACGAAACGTTCTTCATTTCTTATTTGAAGATAGATTGATGCCATTGGTTTGTTTGTTCGTTCGATCGTTTGTTCATCTCTTTGTTCGTCCAATCATTTTTTGTTCATCTCTGATTTTGTACTGCACAGACATGGCATCGTCCGTCTTTTAAATGTGCTCGATTTCTATTTATGGGTTCATTTAAAGGTACGTATACAAACACACACACACACAAACACTTGTTTGTATAATATGTATGTATCTGTTTGTATGTATGTGTGTGTGTGTGTGTGTGTGTGTGTGTGTGTGTGTGTGTGTGTGTGTACGTGTAAGTATTTTTCGTTATAATCTTGCAGTCTAAGATGAGCATGGTTCGTTCGCTGTACAATTCCTAATTATATAACTTTGGTTTGTTTGGCTGCTAATTGATGACGGCTCTGATGGTGGTGAAGATTGCTGATGAATATGTATGTATGTGTGTGTTTGTGTGTGTGTTTTTGATTGACGTTCGTAAGTGAGGTTAGTAGTGATTGTTGGTTAGATGCTGTTTTTGTTTGTTTTTGGTTATTGTTTCTATTGTTGTTGTTGTTGTTTTGGCAGATGTTATGTTTGTATTTTTGTTATTTGTAGTTTTTTAGTTTTTCAAACATTCATATTAAAAACTTTTAAAATCGCGAATTAAGTGTTGCCGGCAACGTTAAATTGCAAGCAGCTATCACTATCTGCAATCTCCATATTTTTAACTCATCCTTCAACTATCATGATCATTATTTTTATACCGACAGACAGACAAACACACACAAACAGAGCCTTATTAATATTCATTATATAATAACACACACTAGAACAGAGTAATGCTATTCATTCATTACCTACTTAACAGAACACAACACGCATTGTTGGCAGCTGTAGCAGTAGCATTTGCTAGCAGTAGCTGTAGTAGCATCAGTAATTTTGGCAGTAATAATATTAGTAAAGTAGCAGCTGTAGTAATGGCGACTCTGGTAACGACTTTGTAACAGTAAGTAGTAGCAGCAGCAGTAATTTTAGCTGCTGTATTGATGTCAGTTGTAGTTATGGTAACCGTATAGTAAGAGTTAATTTATAAATTTATAAATATATTCGTAAATGATTTTGTAAACATAAAAGTATAATGAAACATTATTTTGTAAACTTTACAGTATAATGAAAAATTATTTTGCAACACCAGCAGTAGTAGTTGTAGCGGCAGTGGTAGCAGCAGAAGTTGTAGAATTTGTTATTCTTTCATTTTTTTATTTTGGCATATTTTACATTTCTTGTTTCTAGTTTAATAGGAAGAAAAATTACCATCTGCTGTTTGCTCACTGGTTCTTCTACACAGCATTCTGCAACATTCATTCTCTTCATGATATTAATTTTAATTATAACCGTTTCGAAAAGAGTAATAATAATAATAGTAATAATAATAATAACAATAATAATAATGTTAATAATCTAACTACTATAATTATTAAAGTTAATTATTATTATAAGCAGTTTGGTATCGGCGCATTAATTTCAAAATGCTGAAACTAATAAACAACGCAGTATTCGTTTCGTAATCTATTTTCACACTGGGTTTTTCGTTGTTTTGTTCCCTCAACTTTGGTTGAAAATTTTTAGAAGGCACACACACACACACACGTCCACACACACACACACACACACACACACGTCCACAAACAAACACAAACACACATCCGCAAAGACACACACGCCCGCGCGCACATTCACAAGCAAGCTAACCGTAAAATTTCTTATCTATTTTTAATATTCCAAAATTGTAAACAATTACGATTATGTGGAGGGTAAGAAAGTTGGAAACTTTACTGAAAACTTAATAACCATTAATAATTACGGAATACTGAACGAACGAAAGAAATACTGGAATACCTACCTACCCATTCGTGCAATAGTTTTCCTGTGATAATGAATGGTTAAAAATACCAACTTTTTAACTTAGCTAACGCCGAATAACCGATTTACATAACTTGCTAGTTACATGAATTAAATAAATACTTACTAGCATAACCACAGACTCACACACACAACAGAGCTAAGCTTTTTTTTAGAAGAATCTTCCTCTTCAAATTGAATACCCCAAGCATATATATATATATATATATATATATATATATATATATATATATATATATATATATAAAGAAAAGAGTTGACTGTGAAATCTGTTGTAGTTGTAATAATAATAATTTTTATCAATATTTTTTTAACTATTCTGAAAAATGAAATTTTAAAAATATAGTAATAACAATGTTTATAAGGATTTAATTGGAATGCATTGTGATAAAACTTGTATAAAATATTTTGCCCTGAACTCAAATAGCGTGTTAATTTTTTGCTATTAACAACGTAGGTAGTAATATTAATGATAATAATAATATAAATTATTATTATTATTATTATTGTAATTTATTATTCGTGAATAATTAAGATCCATTACATCTTTGCTCGTGTTTGTAGGTGTACTTACTGACTACATACATGCATGCATGTACAATGTACATGGTTTGTCAATACATACATTAACTCACATTCAAGCATTTGTCATAATCAAATATATAATAATAATATAGTTATAATAATAATATTATTATTGTTATTTTTATTAATGATAATACTTATAGCATTTATAAAGAGTTTGTCATACTTACATTTTATTAATCCTTTAAATGGCTATAGTAGTACTATACATGCGTATGCGTATACATGTATGTTTGTTTGTTTGTGTGTGTGTATATATATATATATATATATATAAGTGTGTGTGTGTGTGTGTGTGTGGTGTAGTATATATTGTATTACATACCCATGATGTGTATCAGCGTTGAACAATTAAGTATTGCTATTCCGGTTGGATTAAATAAAGTTATATTTCTTGCTCCGCTTGTTTTAATTTATTTTCTAATTTAATTTGAAATTAAATTAATTGAAATTTAATTTAATTTAGTAGGAACCTGGTTTTATCTTTTTACTGGCAAAAAAAATTTCAGTTTAATTGACTTGGTGTTAATTTTTCTCCATATTAAATACAGTTAGTAATGACATTTAGGTTTTATTATGTTTAATATATAAATATTTGCTTTTAGTTTACGAATTTGTTACATTATTATTATTTCTCATTTTTTGTGTTTTATTTTTCTTATTTAGAATGTTATTAAATGATATTAAGATGGACTATCCGTTTATATAGCCACCCATCTACCAACTTACCTACCTACCTATCCACCTACCAACCTACCTACCTACCTACCTACCTACCTACCTACCTACCTACCTACCTACCTACCTACCTACCTACCTACCTTCCTA